TCTTCTTAAATCCTTAAAACAACTAAAACTTTCGGATATAATCAGGCCAAAATGCCTAAAGTTCCTGTGCACCACTGCCTGGCCTCAGTACGAGTTAGATAATAACTCTGTTTGGCCAGACACTGAAACCTTAAACTTCAATATTTTGAGAGATTTAAAATTTTTCTGCCATTGTAAAGGTTAATGGTCTAAATTACCATACAGCCAAGCTTCCTTTGGTCTCTGTGCTAATCCCTCCTTCTGGGTCCCATGTTCTTCTTCTCGCTAAGACAGTTTCACGGGATCCCAACCCACCAGAGGCCTCTGCCCCTCCACCTCCCCCCTCCCCCTCCACCTCAGCTTTTCATCCTACCATAGCCAATGAACTGCCTCCAATTAGGACCCATCCCCAACCTCCTCCTGCTCCCCAGCCTGAGGCACAACAAAGTCCTCCCCATGCTCTCCCCTTGCTATACTCTCCCTTGCCTCCCATTCCAGGGCCCAACCTGGCTCCCCTCCTTTCTCCAACTCAAACTCCCTCTCCACACCATGACCTTCCCCCTCTCCAGCACCACTCTAAGTCCATCACCTGCTCTCCTTCCATTTACTCTCCTCAACTTGAGGACAGTTAAACACCTTAAACACCTCCTTGTCAAATATTCCCTAGTCTCCCCTATTCTGGCTTCTAGCTCAAATAACCCTTTTATTCCTTGTGTATTTAACTTCTACTTTGATTCCAGACCCTGCCTCCGATACCCCTGCCCTCTGTCCCCTCATGGACAGGACACCTTTCTCATCTCTCCCACTCCAACAGTTATAAAGTCTAAACAGTGTTATATCACACAATTTTCCTTAATTGATTATGCTGGAGGTTGTAAACATCAATTTGATAATGTTTATGTACCAATTGCTTTTTTCCACCTAAAGCAAGGTTTTGGTAGGCCACTCTCTAAACTACATAAGGTAAAAGATTTACCTAAAAACTTATAAAACACAATATGTACATGGGTAATATTAACTTATTACATTATCTTATGTATATAATTTAGATTCCATGTTCTTTTAATAAGATGATACTACACAGTACTTTCTTCTGAGTCAAACTACTACCATCTTCATGACTTTGGCTGTGTCCACTAACAAAAAGTCATCACAATTGAACTTGTTGACTTGACTATCATATTCTTTAATTGAAGGAGGAGGGGTAAACAGGGTCATTGGACCCTCACCTGAGCATCCAGCTGCTCTTCCCAGCCAACTGTATGTAATTTGACCCTAATTACATGGTCTCCTGGACTTGGAAAAGACTAAGTATATTATCTAAAAAAGGCTAAGAAGGCTTACTCCATGCTGGGTTAAGGCTTTCCAATGTAAATACTCTCAGGTCACTCATATACCTCAGCAGCCCCTCAGTCATCTCTGTAAGTAAGCTCAGTAAATTCACTGGTTCCCCAGGAAAACTAATCAAACATTCGTTTGACACTAGAGCCTCAAAAGGGGATAAGCATTGCTTAGTATCCCCAGGAAAAGAATTCTTACAACAGGTAGAAAATTTATTTGTTAATGTTATTATGTCTCATGATTATTAAAAAAAGAAAATGAGAATAGATAAAAATTTTGTTTGCTAATGTTATTGTGTCTCATGGTTATTAAAAAAAGGAAAATGAAAAAGTGGAGGATGTTAGAAGAATATGAAAATGGAGATATTTTTAAAGAAGGATTTATGTATGAAAATTATGATGGCTGGATATTCCCAGAATTGACAGAGAAATGAGAAAGCTGGGCACGTGATGAAGGTCTGTGTAGGGTTGTTACAATATAACAAGGATGAGACAAGGATAATGTGTAGACAATCTTGAAATTTCTAAGGTCGCAGCTTAGATAACTAGTCTAAGGATGTCTAGTCAAGGTTGATTTAAGGATGTTGCCCAAGTTCTATCCACATAGCACATGGTAATTAATGTACCAGGCTGGTGTAACTAACCTTGTTGGATGTTTAATAGCCAGACTCTAAGGCCTATATTAAGCTGGTCAGAGGGACTTAAAGGGACAAATTCTTGATCCTGGCCCTCCAAGGTCAAACAAGTTCCAGGGGCTATGGTGCATCTCTCGAAAAGTCCTGTAACTTTGGTGAGTCACCTGTCCTCTTGTTCAGGGAGGCCATGGAGACCCCAGAAGATGGACTTAAACCAGTGTCCAGTCTGCAAAGAGGAGGGTCAACACAGAGGAAATATTCCCTCCATGCTTCCAAGAGAAGCCCTGGTCAAGCAAGACCTTTTGACTTATCTTCACATAGATGAAACTGGTAAAAGAAAAGCTTGAGGAGCCAGGACTCCCCTCAAGCCCATGTGGTCCCTGAGGACCAAACCCTCATACAACCTTAAGAGTAAAAATAAGCTGGTTTATTTAGGCCAACAGTATGGTCTTAAACACCCAAAAGGAAAGTATAACCAAAATTAAAGTCATCAGTATATTTTAAGGGTTCAAGGGATTACACAATCCAGACATTAGATGTAAGTTCTTACGTTATTTAGACAATTATCTCTCATTGATAATTTTGTTCCTAATAAGATGCTACTCAGATGTAAGACTTCAAATCTTGGTCTACAATACTGTAGTGCCAACTTACAGATAAGAGAGGCAACCCACTATTGTTCTAGCCTAAAAAATAAAATGATGGCTAAATTTGTTTTCTCTCCCTATGTAGAAGCCTTTGAGAGGTAACTGACACTGATTCTAGCCACTCCAACAGCTATCAAAATACCTGAAAACAAATCCTGAGTCCATCACTCTCAAGTTCAGCCCTGGCAGGAAAAAATAACTCAGCATGATTTCAATATTTTTAAAGAGGCACTAACCTTAGAAGATACTGAAAGCTATAGCTATGTAAAAAAATCACATGGGATGTGAATAATTTCCAGAAATGTGTTGTTTAATTTGTCTAATTTTTCATATACTATAGACCAACAGATTAATGATTTACAAAAGGAAATTAACAAGATGTCTAAATTTTCTATACCTTGGCCAAAATGGTTCCAATGGCTTACTCCATTCTTGGGCCCAAAATTGATTGGTGTACTTCTTCTTATGGGAGCTCCAATAGGTATGCACTGTATTATAATTTCGATTACTAATACTGTGGCCTCTATGACCACTTCCTTCTTACTTTTAAAAAACAATAAAGGGAGGAGATGTAGGAAATCAGGATGCCAGGCCCTAGGGTGAGGTGAGCCTAAAACTTGCAGGTCCAGGCTGCATTCTCTGCTAAAGGGAGGGGCACTGAAAACAGTGGCTCTGATAATCCTTGTCTTGCAGAACACTGCTAGACTAGCAGGAGGAAGCAGCCCAGTCATAAAAGTGCAGGCTCCCTGCTCTGTGGGAAAGCGTTTTGGTCAACAAACCTTAGCTCATCTCCTTGTCCTGAACAAATAACTCAGCTATCCCTGACTAAGAGATTAGGCCAGGTTAAAGGTTTACTCCTGAGCTAAAAGCTAAAAGTTCACCATGCTTTTAGCTTTAAGACAGAAAACATTGTGGCCAATAAATTACTAGATGAGCATTGAGAACCTTGAGTAAAAGTTTAAGAATCCTTCTGGCACCAACTAACAGACTGTTTCTTCTGTTTCTTTGTACCCTAAATGTTTGTATGTGACTGCCATATCCCACGTGACTGCTAGTTCCTTGGGATGTATAAGAACCATCTAAATTCTAAAATAAATCATCCTGTTGGGAAGACACAGGTCCCAGAGTTTATGACTCTGTCGCCGATCAGACCCTCTGCCCTGAAGCCAGCAAGTCCCCCACTAAGCAAAGCAAACCTGAGTCCTGACAACCATGTTAAGAAGTGTTCTTTGGACAATTACTACTTTTTGTGTGTGTTAGGAGATCTGGACATACCTAATAAATATTATATTTTTAATTCTGAGTATTCTGTTCATTTTATTCATTTTCCAGTTATTCTTAAAATATGCTTTGTGGGCTGGAGAGGTGGCTCAGCAGTTAAGAGCACTCACTGCTCTTGTAGAGGACCCGGGTTCAATTTCCAACACCCACATGGCAGCTGGGACATGCAAGGGCTCATGGGGATGGGGTGGGGGAACTCAGGAGAAGAGGGCTGGTGGGAAGCAGGTGATATCTATCAGGGGAGGGTGGGAAAGTGGGGGTACTTGTACTGGGAAGGGAAGCTGTACATATGTTTTATACATTTTCTGATTTTGTTCATACTACAGGAACCAGGTATATTATTTAGTTCATGTATATTTAGTAATTTTGTGCTTTGTACTTAAACAGTTTCTAGAATTCTAAAAGTAGGGGCTAGAGAGATATCTCAGTGGTTAGGAGCACTGCCTAGTGCTACAGAAGACCCAGATTTAGGTCTCAGAACCAAAATGGCGGCTAACAACCGTTTCTAACTCCATAATTCCAGATGCAGGGAATACGTCTTGACCTCCATGGGCATTGCACAACAGTTGTACCCTTACATCCAGGCAGTATACTCATACACATTAAATACTATTAGAAATTCTAAAATCATTAAATTAGTAAATACACACAAATGTGGTAATAATAAATTTCTTTTGCTGATTCTTGACCCAATCCTCAAGCCCCTGAGCTCCGACTATAAGAACCATCAGTTTTGCCACTTCTGACTACTTTCTGTCCCTTTTTGATACAATCCTTCCTCAGGGAGGCAGGAGTGCTCTTCGCCCCTCCTGAGAAGGGCGCTAAGCCTTGGGAACCTTGAGGACCTGGCTTCAGAATCCTGCCCTCCCCCCTCCTGCCCCTCCCCTCTGCCGGATGGAACGCAGAGCGACCACCCTCAGCATAGGAACGTCGCCTCAGGACTGCAGACGTTAGGCAGGTGGCGCTGGTGGGAAAGCTGGTGTGCAGGCGTCAGGCCTCAGAGTCTCATTTGTGGGCAGAGCCAGACCAGCCTGCTGTGGTGGCGGTGCACTGTGTGCTCTTCTCCCGGCTTCCCAACTAGGTTTTAGGGGTGCAAGGAGTTGGCGGTTTTTTTCATGATGTCTAGTGAGTCTGGTCAGCCTCAGGCTGGCCCCTCACAGGCCTGCCTCTCCTGGCCGCTCCCAGAGAGAGATCCAGCTGGGGTCCCGGGGAGAGTGGTTGAAGGGGCTGGTGTCCAAAAGGACAAGTCCTGGATCCAAATCATCAGTTCCCCTCGACAGTGTTTCTCCTTCTCGGAGGTGGTGCCTGTCACGGTATTGGCCATTCAAAGATATCTTTTAGAGGATGAGCTACCAGGGGATGGAGTGCACAAGTCTCTTTACTGCTATGATGTGACCATCTCTGATGGGGTGTATCAGAAGTGCTACCTGGACCCCAGCTTAAACTTTCTCGTCTATAAGAATATTCTTAAAGCTGGCGTAGAAATGCGAATTTACAGTCTCGTGTCTTTTTAATGAGAGAAGGTTAGGCCAGAGGATCCTGTGTCTAGATAAGGTCCACTGTGGGGAGCCCTTAGATGTCATTTCTCTAGAAAATCCCTTCAGAAACAGAGCGCACCAGGAGAAGCTAGAGAGGCCACTTCTTGGCAGGAGTAACCATTACCTGGTGCTCTGGAAAAACGAAGACCCCTATGGAAATATCTGGGTGGCCAACAAAACACCTGAGGAAATCAACTTTGACAGTAAGTAAATTGGAGGGAATTGCGACTGGGTTTTTAAGTGTTTGCCACCCTGCGTGGGTGCGCACGTGTGGAAGCCGGCAGTTGGCATGGCTGAGGCTAGACGATTCCCATGAATTCTAGGGCAGTCTGGGTTCCAGACAGAGACCTGTTTTCAAAAAACAAGCACATATGTGTTTGGGAGCATGCACTAACGGGAAAGGAAAGAGCTTCTGCACTATTAATTTCAAGCCAGCAGGAGTCCTAAAATAATTTTCCTGATCACCTGGAGATAGTCTTAAAGTTTGGGCGCTGGTGTTCTATTTTGGTTTGATTGCAAAATACTATTCAGGAAATGTCTGGTTGTACTTTAAATTAGTCTGGCAAAAACATTAATTGAGGACTTATTTTTCAGCAGTCCTGCTGTGTTTGATACATAGGTTTAGCTTGAATTAATCTTACTTGCATCCCCAAAGTTGGGAAAGTAGTGCTTTATGTATGTTCAAGAGTGTGTAGATAGGAATTTTATATAAAAGCTATGGATATTTATCTTGACTATATTTGAGTGTTTCTGTGGAAAGGATGGATTCCTACAAGTGCAATTAGAGAGTTAAATGATATTTGATCTTTTAAATTCAATGGGTATTGATAAATTATTCTCTGAAATTTTGTACTAATTTATATTTAACAACATAGGCATGAGTGTCCATTTCCCCATATCTTGCTTTTTAAAAATAGGATCTTTTGACTTCATTTTCTTTCTAGTGCTGGGGACTGAACGGGAGCCTCTAGTGTGCCCTGTCAGCTTGACTTTTATTAATCATTTTTTACTGGATTTCTTTACTCATAGGTTTTTGTGATGGTTCTATACTGCAAATTATTTTTTGTAGTGCTATGTGCCTTTTCTGTTAACTTTGTTTATGTTCTGTGCCGTTGAGTCTTTTTATTAAGGTTTAACTTTACATAGTAACATGAAAATTGTACTCACACACACTTGGATGTTCACCCTTCCTTCAAGATAGACAGCAGGGGCTAGAGATGTAGCTCAGTTGTTAAGATCACTGGGTGCTCTTCCAGAAGACCCAGGTTCAGTACCTAGCACTAACATGGAGTCTAACAACCATGGGATCCAACACCCTCTTCGGGATGCACTTAAACACATGCAGGCAAAACACTCACACATGTAAAATTAAATAAATCAATCAATAAAAAGACATTTTAAAAGATACAGAACATTTTAGGCACCCTAAAAAACTCCCTAAGATCCCTTCCTTGTCTATGCCCCTACCTGAAAACTGGCAACAACTTCTGTGACCTTAAAACAATCTTTTTCTTTTTAAATTTTGTTGTTCTGAGGCTAGGTTTCATATAACCCAGGCAGGCCTTGAACTCACTTTATAGCTGAAGATGGCCTCCAACTCCTGATCCCCTGCCTCCAACTCCCAAGTGCTGGGACTACAGATGTGGTGGCCTACCAGGTTTCTTTTTTCTTCTTTTTTCTTCTAGTTTTTACTTTGTAAATCTTACCTATCGGACTGGCCATATGGCTTAGCAGTTAAAAGTACATACTGGTCTTTCAGAAGACCTGAGCTCAAGTCCCAGGAACCATGTCAGGCAGCTCAAAACTGCCTGTAAGTCCAGCTCCTGAGAAATATAATACCTCTGGCTTCCTCAGGCACCTGCATTCAGGTGCACACACCTCCCCCAGATATATACAAATACACATGATTACAACAAATAAAATATATTAATTTACTAACTTGGGGATGGGAGAGGGGAGGCAGGGAATAGGATGTCTGTTTGAATATGTGGGGGTCATAAGACAACTTGAGGGAATAGGTTCTCTCCTAGGACCATGTGGGTCAAGGTTAGCAAGCCCTTTTAACACTGAACCATCTTGATGGCACTTGTTGCTAATTTCGAGTCAGAGTTTCATCATGCAACTCAGACTGACCTAGAACTCCTGGTAGTCCTCCAGTCTCCACCTCCTGGTGCCGAGATCACCAACATAGGCACCACTGTGCCCAGCTTATTGTTGTTTTGTCTTGTTTTTGTTTTTATTTTTGTTCTGTTGTTTGAGACAATACCTCTCTACATAACCAGCCCCAGGGTTCTCCTGCCTCAGCATCCTGAGTACTGAAATTACAGACAAGCATCACCATGCTGAGCATGAAAATCTCCATTTTTAGAAGATCCTTTTTATCTGGGCATAGCTGGGTACAACTGTCATCTCAGCATTCAGAAACCTAAGGCAGGAGGGTTGAGTTCTAGACCATCCTGGATACTCAGTAAGACCTTGTCTCTAAATAATTAATTAAATAATGAATTGTAAATGGAGGTTGTATCATGTCACTCCCCTGCCTAAATATTTCCATAAGTCCATTGCATTGGAAGGCAGCTATGCTCACCACTATACCACCAACGTGGTCCATTGCATTGAGACAGCGCAAACTCCCCATGAGGATCCATGAAGCTTCCTGCAGAGAAGACTGTCAAGTTTTCTATAAAAACCCAAATTACAAACCAGTTTGCATTTTGGAATTCTTTCTGCATTGTCCAGGCTGCCCTCAAAGCTGCAGTCCTCCTGCCTCAGCCTCCAGAGTAGATGGCTTTACAGGCAGGGACCCACGTGCTATTGAAAAATAAGTTATTTTATCGTCACAAGACCTGTGATGACTGAAGAAACAGGATCTTTGCCATTATTTAGTAAAAACAGTCCTTGATAATACATAAATAATTGTGTCTGGTTTTGTTTTGTTCCCACAGGACTTCATGCAAAACAGGGAGTGTGATACTGATTTGCTTCCTGGTCTAGACTAGTATACTGTGTTGACTCTGCCTTTCAGAATACTGAATTCAACTCTACCATCACCTCTGTGCCTTTGCCTCCAGCCTTTTGATCTCCAAACCTCCAAGTATTTGCCTGCCTTTGGTGCTTTACACCTCCATTTCCCCCTTTCTTGAATGTTTCTCCCCATTTTCAGGTTTAATCTCGAACACATAAAACACAATAGAAGAGATTATTTAAATATTCTCTCCTCATTTATTTTTATTGCCCCCTCTTTGCGAATATCCTTTGTAGAGGTGTAGCACTGAAATTATTTTCTTCCTTTTTTTTCTGTTAATGAAGTCTATACCTTTTTTTATCACTGTTGTGGTTTACATCCCCACTATGCAGGCCAATGTCTGGCATGTGGTAGGTGCTCTCTTGAATAAAGGAGTGAATGAAATCAATTAGAAAACACTGCTGGATCATCTAATATTGAACCACTTTTGAATTCCAGTTTGGTCCTAGCTGTTATTTTTAGATCTGTGTATTTAAGTAAATTTAATCCACAGGGTTTTTCTTAATTTGAAGGTGTCATTAGTCCAAATTTCAGATCAGGTTTGGAGTAGCCTAATAGAATGAGTCAGCAGTTTTCCTATTTTCCCACATACACAAAATTTCAACATTCATTGAAGAATTTGTGCAGTTCAGCCGTAAAACTGGATAAGGTTTATGATACTGGGATTAGGGGTGGTAGGGATTACTTCTTTTTAATTTCTTGTAGAAAAAGCCATGAATGTGTGCCTAATTCTTTTTGAGTACATTTTTGAGACTTGATATTTTCCTAGAATTTCTCATTTCATCTAGATCTCAAAATTGTATGTAGCAATCTATACCTTTAAATCTTTCTTGTTCACTAGATTCCCTTTCATAATCCTAATGGCGATGTGTTAGCCTTTCATCCCTCAAGTTTATCAGTGCCAGAGACTTAAGTGCTTTATTCTTAATTTTATTTGATTTTATTTGGTATTTTTGGAGATGGTCTGCAGCTCATGCTGACTTGGACCTCACGTTCTTCCCTCCACAGCCTCCTGAGTCCGGGGATTAAGAGCATGCACCAACAAGTCTGGCTTTGTTGTGTTTTATTTGTTGTGGTGCTAGGTATTGAACTTGGGCCTTGCCCATCCTAGACAAGTGCTTTATTACTGACCTATATCCTCAGCCTTTATTTTAACTTTTTATTTTGAGACAGGCTATGGGTAAGTTGCCCAGGCTGGACTTCAGCTCACTCTGTAGCTCATGCAGACCTTCAATTTGCAACCTTTCTGATCTGCTCTCCCAAGTAACCGAGATTACAAGCCTGTATTAACCAGGCTTGGTTTTACTGTTAGTTTTTGAAACACATTTTTTACTAATAAAGAAGCTGGGAGCTGACTCATTGGGTGTCCTAGTTTTATCTTCATTGCTGTGACAAAATACTCTGACCACTACCAACTTGTGCAGGAAAGGGTTTATTTAGCTTTCATACCCCAGGTCACAGTTCATCTGGGTACTAATAAAGAAGCTAGGAGCTGACTCATTGGGTGTCCTAGTTTTATCTTCATTGCTATGACAAAATACTCTGACCACTACCAACTTGGGAGGAAAGGGTTTATTTAGCTTACATATCTCAGATCACAGTTCATCTGGGAGCCCAAGGTAGGAACTCAGGGCAGGAACCTGGAGGCAGGAGCTGGAGCACAGGGCATAGAGGAACGCTGCTTACTGGATTTCTCCCCTGGCCCCTGCTCAGCCTACTTTCTTATGCAACACAGGCCCACCTGCCCAGGGGTGGCACCACCCACAGTGGGCTGGGCCCTCCCACATCATGACTCATCAAGGAGAGGCCCCTCAGACGTGGCCACAGGCCAGTCCAATAGAGGCAATTCTCCAATTGAGGCTCCCTCAACTCAGGTGTGTCAAGTTGACACTAAAGCTATCCAGCACACTGGGTAAGAGTATTTGCTATGCAATCATGAGACCTGACTTTAGATCCAAGCATCCACATTAAAAACAATTAAAAAAAAAAAGGAAAAAGCTGAACATGGCCTGGTACTGTGGTTGGTAGAGGCAGGAGTGAGAGACTCTGTTTTAAAGGGATAGTAGTACAGGATGGTCAGTGTCTTCTCACATGCTCACAGTTAATTTCTTAACTGATTCATATCCTGTTGGTGGGCGTTAATTCATAAGTATTAAATTCGTCTCTATATTTTTTTGA